TCAGAATAGTGAGCCTCCCCCAGGGATGGGGGTATATGAGCGCTCTACTGTGGCGTGCACCCCCATTAAGCCCTGACATGTGGGGACTGGGGTCTGGAGCAGCACTGATTTGATGCCTCCCAGGTTTGCTGCTGGGATTTTGCTGTAGGTTTGCAGGTAGAGCCGAGAGAGAGGCCAGTGCTCACAGGCTGGTCTTCGCTGGCTGCATCAGCCTTTTCCATTCTGCACCCACCTTGCCGCACCCCCCCTTCCTCCCCGCGGTGCACCATACAAACAATTTGCTTGGGCAGAGCAAAGTTAGATAGCACTGTTGTACAAAGTTAGATAGCACTGGCCTCCCCCTCTCCCTGTCCCACTAGTGGTCTGTCCTGGATGCAGGCAGGGGTTTGGGTCAGAGGTGGAACAGACTGCGGGGTTAGTAGTAGAGTAGTCGTGGCTCATAGGACACCGGCAACCAGAGGTGGCGCTGCAGCACCCTTTGGAGAGGCGGAGGGCCTGCCGACTGGCACAATGACCTTCCGGCAGTCCTGAGTAGCTGTCGGGAAGCTGGATCAATGCCCAATTCTCCCTGGGTCTCCTGGTGATTCTGGTATTTGCTTTTTTTTTTTTTTAGGGTTCTTTTTTTTAAATTTTATTATGTTATGTTAGTCACCATACAGTACATCATTAGTTTTTGATGTGGTGATCCACGATTCATTGTTTTTGTATAACACCCAGTGCTCCATGCAGTACGTGCCCTCTTTAATACCCACCACCAGGCTAACCCATCCCCCTCCCCGCCTCCCCTCTAAAACCCTGTTTGTTTCTCAGAGTCCACAGTCTCCCATGGTTCATCTCTCCCTCTGATTCCCCCCCTTCATTTTTCCCTTCCTTCCCCTAATGTCCTCCATGCTATTCCTTATGTTCCACAAGTAAGTGAAACCATATGATAATTGACTTTCTCTGCTTGACTTATTTCACTTAGCATAATCTCCTCCAGTCCCATCCATGTTGATGTAAAAGTTGGGTATTCATCTTTCCTGATGGCTGAGTAATATTCCATTGTATATATGGACCACATCTTCTTTATCCATTCATCTGTTGAAGGGCATCTCAGCTCTTTCCACAGTTTGGCTATTGCGGACATTGCCGCTATGAACATTGGGGTGCATATGGCCCTTCTTTTCACTACATCTGTGTCTTTGGGGTAAATACCCAGGAGTGCAATTGCTGGGTCATAGGGTAGCTCTATTTTTAAATTTTTGAGGCACCTCCACACTGTTTTCCAAAGTGGCTGTACCAACTTGCATTCCCACCAACAGTGTAAGAGGGTTCCCCTTTCTCCACAACCTCTCCAACATTTGTTGTTTCTTTCCCTATCCATTTTTGCCATTCTAACTGGTGTAAGGTGGTATCTCAATGTAGTTTTGATTTGAATTTCCCTGATGGCTAATGATGATGAACATTTTTTCATGTGTCTGTTAGCCATTTATATGTCTTCTTCAGAGAAGTGTCTTTTCCTATCTTCTGCCCACTTTTTGACTTGATTATTTGTTTTTGGGGGCGCCTGGGTGGCTCAGTTGTTAAGCGTCTGCCTTCAGCTCAGGTCATGATCCCAGGGTCCTGGGATCGAGCCCCGCATCGGGCTCCCTGCTCAGCGGGGAGCCTGCTTCTCCCTCTCCCACTCCCTCTGCTTGTGCTCCCTCTCTCACTGTGTTTCTCTCTGTCAAATAAATAAATAAAGTCTTTTAAAACATTAAAAAAAAAAAAGAGTCCATGTACTTTAAAGAGGAGGAAAAGAGCTAGGCAAAAGACTTTCTGCCAAGGGTGCAAGAATATGGTGAAGTCAGTGAGACCACGGGAATGCTTACAAGCCCAAGAAGGCCTCCAGTCACCACCAGCCGAGGTGAGTCCTCAATGTTACAAGCACCATGTTTGGCGGCACTTGAAAAAATCTGAACAAGTTCATCTCTTCCCTCGAGGATACGGGAGACCTTCCTGACAAATAATAGAAAAGTGAGACACCTCCATTTTCATTTCATTTCACAGAGCAATAAAGGCTCACCTTCAAGGGCAAACCCATGACCGCTTGCAGATGAATCAAAATCCCTCCAATCCCTAAAAACTGACATCAGAAATGTCTTAAAGGCTCTTGATTTCATCTCAGTCATGACCTCAGGGTCCTGGGATCGAGCCCCATGTCGGGCTCCATGCTCAGCACAGAGTCTGCTTAGGTTTCTCTCCCCCTCTTCCTCTACCCCTCCCACGCTTGCAAGCATGTGTGCTCACGCTCGCTCTCAAATAAATACATAAATGTCTTTTTTAAAAAAGAACATGTTACGAAATTTTGCAGAAAATCAAGGAGGTAATTTACCTCAGAAGTAGAGAAAAAACTCCTTAAAATGTAGGGCAGCATTGGCAGCATAAACTAGAAGCATGACTCCCAACAGGAAGATGGCTGGAGACCCAGGGAAAGAATTGCAACACGCAGCTTCCTTCTTTGAATGCTGGTTTGATCATCTCCTATGGGGGGAAAAAAAAAAGCTCAAGAGAGGTGGGTGGCGGCTTGGCCAACTGAGAGAAAGCACAACAAGCCAGGAACAGGGAATAGCCAAACATGCAAAAGTTGGCTGAAGCAGAGTTTAAACTCTAGTTTTCCCAAGTGGCCTCATAGCGGGCTGATTAATGTCCACAGCCTAATGTCTAGATCCTGTGCCTACATCATGTTACGTGGCAGAAGAGATTTAACAGATGTCATTAAGGTGATGGAGCTTGAGGTGAGGAGACGAGCCTGGATTAATCTAATCACCTGAGCCCTTAAAGTGAGAAATCTCTCCAGCTGCAAGGTAGTATCTCAATGTGGTTTTGATCTGAATTTCGTATTCCTGCAGAGATGCAGGAGAAGGGGAATTCGAGGAGCTTTCCAGGGTGCGAAGGATTGACTGCGCTGTTGCTGTCTCTGAGGCTGAGGTATCCATGGGCAAAGATTGAAGAAAGGCCTCTAGAAGCCACACCCAGCCCCCAGCTGGTGGTTAGCGAGGCGATGCGGCCCTCGGGCCTACGGCTGCAAGGCACTGGATTTTGCCAAGGACAACCTGAATGAGAGTGGAGTGAGCGAGTCTCCAGAAGAGCCCTTCCCGTCAACACCACCATGACAGCCTGGGGAAATCTGGAGCAGAGAAACCAGCCGAGCTAACCCACACTTCTAACCTGCAGAACTCAAAGGCAGTAAGTGTGTGTTGCTTTAAGGCACTGAGTTGGGGTCATTTGTTCAGCAATGGAAGAAAAATTAAAGCCCCTGCTATTCAATGAGCAGCTCTGACACAGGCCCAAGAGAATCAGGGCATCCCCTGATCCTCAGGTCCCCAGGGGAAGAGTAGGGTTAAGTTGGGAGGACCCTGGAAACCTGGGTCACGTGCAGGTTTGATTCAACTTTAAAAGTACCTGAACCCTGCGTAGCCAAAGCCACTGGCAATATGCCTGTGTTCTCTCCCTTTAAAAGTCATTTTGATGTATCTCTTTTTAGCTTAACTACTATGATGATGCCACATTTACTGTTAGGGCTGATAGAATGATAATTCCTAAGGTGTTTTTCAGATACAGATGGTTGATCTATAATTCTGGTGCATACATCATTTCCACTTCAGTGGACCCTGTAGAATATACATGATGTATTTTGCTCAAAGAAAAATGTCCATTATTACTTAAATGATCATTGAACTTTAACACAACCAAATGGAGACATTCAGAAGAATAAAGACCATTTCTTTCTCCTCCGAGCTGCTATTAGAAATCAGTAAAAGTCGGGACTCCTGGGTGACTCAGTCGGTTAAGCATCTGCCTTCAGCTCAGGTCATGATCCCAGAGTCCTGGGGTCGAGTCCTGTATCGGGCTCCTTGCTCAGCGGGGAGCCTGCTTCTCCCTCTGCCTGCCACAAACTCTCTCTCTCTCTCTCTGACAAATAAAGTATTAAAAAAGAAAGAAATCAGTAAAAGTAAGTTAATATTACCTCAAAATGTTTTGACTGGTTTTTAAAACAACACATACACACAACCCCAAATGGCAGCATCATCTCCAGCTAAACTTAGTAATATTTTTATTATTAATTCATAGGTTAGGGGATTTGACATTTTGCAACCATTTGTTTCTTATTTTTCTATTTCTTTTTAACTTTTATTTCATTTTTTATATTCCTTACTGTTTAAATGTTTCTGAACTTTATGCCGTCAAAATAAGTTTTCCTTTTATGAAAAAAATAAAGATCCTTCTCAAGCATTTCCTATGTCTAGCAACCTGCTAGGTGCTGTAGACCAAGATGGCTCACCCTTGTCTCACTGCCCCTGGGGGTTGGGGGGCCGGGAGGAGAAGTCTGGGGAGGCAGACACGCACACGAATTGTTGCTGTATGCGGGATACATGTAATTACAGGGGTAGGTATGCAGCCTCATGGGATTGCTGCAAGGGTGACAGATTCTTACCCGGAAGGGTCAAAGCAAAAGAGGCAAACTTGGAGCTGAATTTTTAAGAAGATTTTGGAATTCAGTGTGACTGGGGATTATATATTATGCTCAAAGACCTTTATCAAGTCTATGTATGCTCTTGCCTGTCTTGAATTTTGCCAAGAAATTTAGCAAGGGTTGACCCCAAAATGCCTCTTCTGTCGTCTTTGGAAAGGAGTCTAAACTGAGAATTGGAAGACTGGAATTTTATACCTAGACCCAGCATTTGCTACACAAATGGTTTGGGTCTCGGTTTTCGCAAAAATGGCAATTGATCATAACCGTCCTGCTTACTTCATAGGACAATTATAAAGACTGAATTAGTTCATGCATGTGAAAACATCAAGTCCCTCTACAAATTAATCGAGGTCACACCATTTCTATTCTGAGTTGCCGGCGGCCAATATTAATTACTATTATGTATTAAAAGAGACAGTAATCAGAGTAACAAAAATGTCTGATGCCTTAGAGTTTCATAGCACCTTTCCTCTGAAGCTTGGCACCTCTGTTCCCTCCTTAGGCCTTCTAATATCTTTCCGGGATAAGCTGGGGCCTGCGTCATTACCCCACACTTGCAGAAGAATGGGGAAGATGAAGTAGGAGGCCCAAGATCAACAGGCAGAATCAAGACTTGAGCCCCAGCTTTTGCCCCATCAGACCATTTTCCGGTACGCATAGTGCGCAGGGCACCAGGCAGGAATGACCGCGGTGCCTTCTCACGAATTATTTCAATAATCGCCCAGAACAGATAAAGATATATTTATTTTAAGTACAGATGCTCAGCAGTAAAGTTTATTCTCTTCAATCTTCAACTGGAATTAAAACACACACACACACACACACACACATACAAACATGCCTTTAAAATTTAAAAGGAGAAAGCCCTACCTGACTACCTCTCCTCTTTGTCCCGCAGGCTCCACCCATTCCAGGCACCTCCCCATCTCCACCTGTGGAAAATCCCCCATCCCTAAGCTCAGGTGCAGTGCCATTCTCTGATCCCAGCTGCCAGAAACATCTCCCTCTCTCGAAATCCCTGCGCTTAGACTAGTGGGTGAGAACCCAAGCTCCCAAGGCCGTCTGTTGTTGGGGTCTGAATCCCAGCCCTGATGCTTATGAGCAGCCTCTCTGCCTCTGGTCCCTTATCTGTCAGTGGGACACTGGTGGTGACACTAAAAAACAAGCAAAAACAACAAAAAGCATGGTCATTACAAGGTTATTAAAAAGATTAGCAAGGGGCACCTGGGTGTCGCAACTGGTTAAGCATCTTGACTCTTGATTTCAGCTCAGGTCATGATCTCAGGTTCATGAAATCGAGCCCCATGTCGGGCTGTTGGGCTCTGCACTGGGGGTGGAGCCTGCTTAAGATTTTCTCTCCCTCTCCCTCTGCCCCTCCCGGTCCCCCCCATCCCCCCTCACTCCCATTGTGTGTACACACTCTCTCTCCAAAAAAAAAAAAATAATAATAAGATAATGCATGTAGAGCATTAATGACACACAGCAATACCCAATAAATATTAGCTGTCCCATCCTCATCTGTTCTTTTGCAGGTTTTTCATCTGCAAAGGGGATAGGAACTGATTCCATAGCACCCCTCGCCTAGTGCATAAGAGAACATCCCAGCTCTGCTATTTATGAGCTCTGTGGGCTTAGCTTGTCATTTAATTTCTGTGTCTCACTTCCTCATCTGTAAAATGGGGAGAAGATGGAAATTAAAAGCAATAATGTCTATATATCTTAGCCATTATTTGGTGTTTAAGCGTCTATACTAAAATTATATTAAAGAGGTAAGGCTCTGATGTCACAGTGTTTCTCAGACTGTATTTTCTGACCTATACAGTTGAAATCATAGATCAAAATTAGGAGAGAGAGAGAGAAAATGCAATGTGAGGATGTTCAGGGCTGGAAAGACAGCTGCAGGCAGTCTTATGAGATATATTCTCCACGAGAGACAAGAGCCCCCAACTCTGCGATTGGAAAAGGGCCACCACCTCCTCCCTGATGAAGGGGAGAAGAAGGAGGAGATGGGGGAGAGCAGAGCAAGGAGGGGAGAAATAAGGGAACAAGGAAGCTGAACAAGAGTGGTGGCAGGGACGCCTGGGTGGCTCAATCTGTTGAGCAGCTGCTTTTGGCCCAGGTCGTGGTCCCAGGGTCCTGGGATCGAGTCCCACATCGGGCTCCTTGCTCAGTGGGGAGCCTGCTTCTCCCTCTCTGTCCCTCTGCTTGTACTCTCTCTGTCAAATGAAATCTTAAAAAAAAAAAAAAAAGAGTGGTGGCAGAGGGAAAGAGAAGGGAGAGGAGAGGGAGACAGAGACAGGAGAGGACAAGGGGACGAGAGAGATTTGTGAATAAGGAAGCCGGAGCCTAGTGACCACGCGTTGGAATGATACAACCCCTAGAGGTGTGGACATTCCCAGGGGTGGTCGTTTGTTCCAACAACTGAAGTTCAGACGTGGTAGATACCGGGGAACGCGTAAGATGGTCCCCCAACTAAATAGTCCCACATCCTACTTAACTGTCCTATTAATTCAGATAGGTGACAAATTCAGACTCAAGTCTATTTCCCACATTAATGTAATGTTTTTTCTTGGTTTTGATATAGGCTGAATATCTCAGCAATGCCACTAAATTTGAGGGGTGGGATGCCTGGGTGGCATAGTGGGTTAAGCCTCTGCCTTCAGCTCAGGTCATGATCCCAGGGTCCTGGGATCAAGCCCCACATCGGACTCCCTGCTCAGTTGGGAGCCTGCTTCTCCCTCTCCCTCTGCCTTCCACTCCCCCTGCCTGTGTTCTCTCTCTCTCTCCTTCTGATAAATAGATAAAATCTTTCAAAAGATAAAAAAAAAAATTGCAAATTTTTGGAAAAAAAATTTGAAGGGAAATTGTATGCCACTTTGTTGACAACTTTTTTTTTTTTTAATCAGGGGAAGATTACATGCTGTTTTACTAATTACTTAGATTACTCACCACTGGGAGACTCTCACTTCAGAGGTAAGGCCACTCTTGATGTGTAAGTCACGCCTCACCCTTTTATCAGTACATACTTGCACATTCAGGTGCAAGCATTTGACTCCATCATTATGACTTTATTAGAGTTGGTGCTGAGCAATAAATATACTATTTAATTTCTACTTACTTTCCTTTGTTTTTTTCTTTATGATTCAGTTGGGGCATTACACTGGGAGTTTTTAATTATGTAGAGAAGTATGTTATATTACCTATGAAAATCATTTTACAATAAAAGAGTTTTAATAAAAAAATTGTTATAGGCAGGGGGTGTTGGGACCGATGGGATTAAACCCCTGTCCTAGAAGTGGTTCTGACCCCTCCATTCCCTAATCCTTTCTCCTCTTGACCACTTCAACATAGGAGCCACTGGCCTGCAGGAGCTCCCCCAGGAAAAGCATTGGACTCTGGCTCTCTCTTTCCTGGGTCTCTGATACCTCACCCCAAATGTGTGTTGTGTATGGAAGTATGTAGACCTGCAGTCAATCACTATCACTATCACTAAATCTATTGTATAATAACATGATACAAAAATAGAACATTTAATTTTGAAACGTTGTGATATTTCCAGTTAGTGGGCCTAGTTGGAGAAAATATGATTGCTTAAAAATGGTGCCCATGTGGCCTAGATCATTCAAAGGTCAAGAGACATCTGTAACATCGTCCAATCACCAATGCTCTAGAGCTGAATTACAGAGGCTCTCATTCAGTCCCCTTCCTGCAAAGACGATCCTGCAACCTTGGGCAAGTACATAGATCCAAAGTTTGCATTAGCTGAAAAGGACATAAAAACACTGATTTTCAGTGAGGAAAACATGACAACATTAAGATCCAGGATGGGAGTATTTCCCAGGTAGAAAAGAAACAGAGTAATGGTTAAAGAAAAGACTTTGCAACCAGACCACCTGGGTTCATAATCTTAGCCCTGTGACCTCGAGTAAGTTTTACTTATCATTGCCATAAATTGGTTCCTTAGCTGTAAAGGGAGGAAAGCAATAGCACCTGCCCCTTAGGGTCCTTAAAAGACTAAAAACGTTATCTGCCGTCAAGCATGTAGAGAAGTGTTTGGCCATGGGACTCACTCAAGAACTGTTAGCCCTTAGACTTCTGTGTGGAAACGTTCCTTCCTGCACCGCAGAATGACTTTAGCCATGCTTGCTTGCGATTCTGCTCTACCAGGTACGTGGCGTTCTTTATAACCATGTCATCAAGTACAGATCAAATTAGAGGGGAAAGCTCTAAAGGGAAACAAAGACACCAGAGAATTCCTCTTTGACGGGCGCAGCCGAAGACAAAAGGAGTTATGTGATCACTAGCCATATATTCAGAAGAGTTTAGACAATACAGTGCTTTGTTATATTTCATGAGTTCATAGGACCCAAAGAAGCTAATACAGGAGAACAATAGCTGACATATCAGGTTTTTCAATCACACTATCAGTTGCTGACAGTTTGCCAAACTGCCTTTGGCCTGGCTCCGAATTCACATCACGAAAAGAGGGAAAGTATTAAAATGATCACTTCCATTGGACTTTGAAAGTCCCAGGTTATCTGCAAGATCCCTCAAAATAAAATCAGAATGTAGCCTCTGCATATGATGATGGAATTAATTACTAAGCTTACTTGACTACCGAGGTATCTAGATAGTGAGGAGGAAGACATTTAACAAACATGAGCAGAGGGGAGCGCGCTACAGAATTTGAGTTATTTGATGTCGGCCCACAGTTGGCATATTAGTTTTCTAGGACTGCCGTAACAAATTACCACAAACTGAGCAGTTTAAAACAATAGAAGTGTGTGCTTTCAACAGTTCTGAAGGCTAGAAGTCCAAAATCAAGGTGCCAACAAGGTTGGTTCCTTTTGGAGGCCTCTGACAGAGAGCCTGTTCCATGCTTCTGCCCTAGCTTCTGGAAGTTAGCACTCCTCCCTGATATTTCCTGGCTCGTGGTTACCTCACTCCAGTCTCTGCTTCTGTTGTCACGTGGCATTCTCCTCTGTGTGTGTGTCTGTGTCCAGATTTCCCTCTCCTTACAGAAACACCAGTCATACTGGATTAGGATCTACCCTAATGACTTCAACTTAACTTGATTACATATGCAAAGAACTTATTTCCAAATAAGGTGACATCTGCTGGTCCCAGGGGGTCAGCCTTTCACTGGATCTTTTGGGAAGACACGATCCGACTGATAACAGGTGGTGAATCTGCTAATTGCTGAAGAGAATCTAGTGTTAATCAAGTGCTACCCTGCGATCTGAGCATTTTCACTCCTTAGATAAGGAGGGCAAACGTGTTTAACCTTTGGACTTGATTTTGGCCAGGATAACTCTCTTCTAGTAGTTTTTCACTGAAGTTCTCTGTTGGGTATTTTTCTGCATTTCAGGAGAAATCACATTTACCTCATCTTTAAATCTATTAACTCTTTACTTGGATAAGCCACTCCAAAGAAAATAAAATTACAAAGGCTCTTTAGATGGTCACTGTTGCCAGTGAAATGGGGAAAAAGAAAGAGTAGAGGCCACCTAAGGGACGCTACTCAACTCTTACCAGAGGCTGTGTGTGAAGAATATTCGCTAGATGGGAGGAAAAAATAACAAATTAAAATTTAAAATTAAAAAACCTGCAATAACACATTCCAGCCCCTTCTGTATCTTAAAAGCAGGCAAGAAGTTTGGTTTAAGGCCATTAGCTTTTGAAGTTACAAATGTAAGAGAGAAGGTAAATGACAGTGACTTACAGTTCCATGCAGGCAAAATGGCTCCTCCTTCCCCCCTGTCCTTTAGGAAAAGACAATTAGAATAAAACAGTTTCTCATGGAGAGTATAAAACGTATTTATCTGTTTGTCTGTTTATTTCTATCATGGAACAGCCACAGTGGCCCACATCCCAAATCCGATTGCTGCCTGTTTTGTGCATAAAGTTTTATTGGAACACAGCTCTACCTGGTTGTCTTACTGTCTATCACAGATTCCTGCCACAATGGCAGACCGGAATGTTGCCAGAAAAGCCTAAGGTATTTACCATCTGGCCCTTAACAGAAAAAGTTGGCCAACCCTTTCTTTAGATTTAGGGGATTAGGAACTGAAGAATACCACAAGACAGCAAGCAAGAATGGATTACGCATGGGTCACAAGTAGTAACTTGCAGCAAATCTCTTGGCATTACCATTTCTTTGACAAGCCTATGGATTCAGTCATAAAAGCTTGGCATTAGTGCCTATTGGTACAAGCCAAGTCGGATTTAAACAACCAAAACCCTGAGTAATCATAATCATCCCCATGCCAAAAGTCAGTACCATGAACAATTAGAACCCTAGACCTGATGGAAATGAAGACTGAATCCCAGTCCAGTATAGCCCTTCTAGGGCTCAGAGTAGGGTATAAAAATCCTCTTCTACTTTTTGTAACTACTTTTTAGTGTTGGAATGAAATCTGGTACAGCATCTCCCTGCTATCGTGATTCTTGTACCTTGTCCCTCTCTCTGCCTGGGTCACCATACCGTGGGAGGGTATGCTCAAATAGTGCTGGAGACACCATGCCCTTCTCAGGGTTCCCCGAGAGTACCCCACACACCAGCGCTCTATAAAAAGTAACTGCCACTTTATCCCAGGGGCTGAGACTTCTCTCTAGGGCCCTGCACCCCTTCCGCAGGCCTCTTGCTTTGATCTGGTGCACCCACATTCTCAATCCAAACTGTGCCTCTCTGGCCAGCCCCTATGGAAGAATGTCTCAGTCCAACTGTCTGCCTGGCTTCCCATCAGATCATCTTTGACTCCAGGCCCTGCCACAGAAGTGCCAGACCTGATCTCTCCCAGTCTGCTCTGACCTCATCTTTTTCCCCCTGAGGGCACAATGTCCAATCCCTGACACTAAGCCACAGGGGCTTCCACATAACATATTGGCTGGTCCCTTTTTGCTGAATCTGTTTTTCCATGACAGTTTCTGGGTTAACTTGTCTTAGAACATACCAGAACTTGAAAGGTCTGCTAATCCTTTTCGCTCTAAGAGAATGAAGAAATTAGTATCTATCTCTATCTATCTATCTATCTGATCTATCATCTATCTATAGTACATTAGTGTATATAGTATTTATATAAATAGCATGTGTGCTTCATTGTCAGGCACACTTAGAAGTGAAAAGCATCTAATGTGTGTTATTTTATCAGGGTCTGAGCCCGCAATTGTAGTTTCTTCAGGGCTACATGGTATTCAGAGAGCTTCTGGAACCAAGCATTTACTTCTTTTTTTTTTTTTAATTTTTTACTGTTATGTTAATCACCACACATTACATCATTAGTTTTTTATGTAGTGTTCCATGATTCATTGTTTGTGCATAATACCCAGTGCTCCATGCAGAACGTGCCCTCTTCAATACCTATCACCAGGCTAACCCATCCTCCCACCCCCCTCCCCTCTAGAACCCTCAGTTTGTTTTTCAGAGTCCGTCGTCTCTCATGGTTCGTCTCCCCCTCCGATTTCCCCCCCTTCATTCTCCCCCCCCCCGCTATCTTCTTCTTTTTATTTTTTAACATATGATGTATTATTTGTTTCAGAGGTACAGGTCTGTGATTCAACAGTCTTACACAATTCACAGCGCTCACCATAGCACATACCCTCCCCGGTGTCTATCACCCAGCCACCCCATCCCTCCCACCCCCCCCAACTCCAGCAACCCTCAGTTTGTTTCCTGAGATTAAGAATTCCTCATATCAGTGAGGTCATATGGTACATGTCTTTCTCTGATTGAGTTATTTCGCTCAGCATAAGACCCTCCAGTTCCATCCACGTCGTTGCAAATGGCAAGATCTCATTCCTTTTGATGGCTGCAATGTGGTGTATATATATACAAGCATTTACTTCTAAGAACAGGATTCATCTTTAGGATGCTGAAACTCTAGTCTTATCTAGTATCTCTTTTTACTGTTGCTCAATTCCCGTTTTCAGGTGGAGAAGAAAGGCTTGGGAAATTTGCCTTTAAGTAGAATGAG